AACCGCAGCGTTAGTGTGGTATAACACTAGTACTATATACTAAAGTAAAACCCTAATTGTACACTTGGCACCATTCTAGAGCATGGTCTCTACAACTTCCATCAAATTAACCCTTGATATATACCGAACATTTCTTTTTTCCTTTAAAATAACGACTGATCATTTTCTCTCTCTATGTTTGCGCTATAAATCAGCACTAAAAGACTTTTTAATACAGAAAGATGAAGAGTTGCCCACAAACAAAACTTAATGAATCAATTTTGCCATAAATACTAAAGGCTACGAATAGAATTAAGAGTTGAGCTTTGCTACAGGGACCCAAAATATGGGACCAATAGAGGGGACAAGTGAGGTGTCTCCCTCCTATTGGATAATGAGTTGGCCATCATTAATGATGGCCAACTCATTATCCAATAGGAGGGAGACACCTCACTTGTCCCCTCTATTGGTCCCATATTTTGGGTCCTTAAGGATTTTTTCTTAAGAGTTGGCCAATGCAAACGGATTATGTTTTCTTATTAGTTCTCTGAACTCCCGTGGCAACCAAAAATGGCCAACGAATCCAAAAACTGCTCTACAATTAAGCAAGCGAAAAACGTAATAGGTTTGCTCATCGACCTATTTGAGATTTATTAGTATTTTCGACCTAGTTTCAATCAGTTGGCTGAAACTAGGTTGAAAAATGTGAAATAAATTACTAAAACTTTATGGGATTTAGAATCACGCGAAGTTTAGTCCTTAATTAAACTTCGCGAGATTCTAAAACACCGTAAAGTTTAGAATTAGGCTAAACTTCACAGGATTTTAAATCCTAGGGAGTTTATAAATATGACATGATTGCAATTGTGGCTAAGGTGTTAGCTCAAAGAAATCTAAACTTTAATCATTTAATTTAATAGGCCTTGAGTTCGAATCTCATCCAAACATTTTTTTTCTTAAATAGTAAAAAAAAATTACAATGCCAAGATTCAAACCATGTGCTTTCAATGCAAACCTTATTGGCCCCGTTTGGCAAAGGGTTAATGAAGAGGGGTTAAAGAGAAGGATTAATGTACTTAGCCCATTTGATAATCCGAAGGACTAAATTATTAACCCGTTAAATAAGTTTTATTTTAGCCCTTATGATCAGTTTTAGTATTTGGGAACAACGATGATTTTGACTATTTTCTTTATAATTAGAAGGGTTAACTCTTATTTTATCTAAATAGGAGTATTAGTAAACCCCTCATTTTGAGGGGTTAACTCATTTTAACCCCTCTAGAGGGGTTAACTTAACCCTTTTATATTTTTTATGTTTGGCAAATTATGGAGAGTTAACTCACTTTAACCCTTATATAGATTTATTATGTTTGGCAGGTTAAGAAGGGGTTAAGTCTCCTTAACCCCTCACTTAACCCTTTGCCAAACGGTACCATAAGGTTATGCTATAACCACTAAACCCACTACACATAACTACTAATTTTATGTAGTTTGTTTCATATAAACTTCACGAAATTTAGAATCCCGTGAAGTTTAGTAACAGTTCACTGCCTGAGCCAATCTTTTTTGTTTAGCGTTAATTAATTAATGACATAACTTCACAAGATTCCAAATCCTTTAAAGTTTTCACAACTTATTTAGCGTTTTCAACCCAGTTTCACCCAGCTGGCTGAAACTAGGTAGAAAATGCTAAATAAAAGATAAATAGGTTGATAGTTAAAAATAAAGTTGTAAAAGGGTTGATTTTAAAAATTTGTCATTTCTTAAACATCAAACAACATTATGGATCAATTAAATCAGAAAATTGAGTTTATATAATAAAAATATCTTTGTTTTGGTTCTCAACTCCTTAACTCATAATTCCAACAAGCTGTTGATCTTGCAGGGCTCCTTATTGGCTTTTGTATACTTCGACGTTGAGGTTGTTGGCTATCTGTAATAAATAGTAAAATGAAAAATATTTCTTTTTCTGACAATCAATCCAAATTGTTTTTTTCTAGGAGGTCTAATTTTTACCTGATTAATTTGGCCATAAAGGTACGCACCCCTCTGTTCAATCGTGACCATTCGCTAGCTTCTCCATTATTTTTTCATAAGCTCGCCGGCAGTTGATCTTGTGATTCTGGTTGCAAATTTGAAACCTAAGGTAAATTCAAAGGTAAAGTCGTAAGTTTTTATGCGAGATTTGATACCTGTTGATTATGAGAGATAATGAAATTGTGAAGAATGAGAGGTTGCAAGTGATTGCATTTGAGTGGCTTGAGCTTCAGTAGCAAGTGACCCCCAGACAGACACTGGGAAATGGCTTAGCTGCCATTTCTCAAAATCGAGCTAAACGAATATTGTCAGAGACCCCTGTAATCCCAAGCACTCACCATGATCAAACTGATCTTAATTGAGAGAGAAGGATGCAACTCCACCTGTGGAATTCCAAGCACTCTCTATTTTAATAGATTTTAATTGAGAAAGCGTAAAAGCCACGTCTCTGCCTTTGAATTTAATTACCTCTCTATAATTTAATTAGCTGATTTTAATTGAGAGAGAAAGCCACCCTCTATATTTTAGTGCACATAATATAGTTTACAAGATGTTACATAATTGATTTGAAGGGGGTATTGTCTTGTGTAATTATTACATTTGATGGTTTAATTAATTAAATTGGGTTGCATATTTATTTGAGTGCAATATGGTGATTTGAGTGAATTTTGAAGGATATTTTAGGAAATCAAAAGTTTTGACACTCATATTCTTTTTTATAAATAGTATATATATATATATATATATATATATATATATATATATATATATATATAATATATATTTATATATATATATATATATATATATATATATATATATATATATATATATAATATATATATAGTATAGGTATAGACATAGCATATAGACTAATTTTGGTTGATTGTGTGAGTAGGTTACAACAGTCCTTCTTCACAACTACCTATCGTGGATATTACCATTTAATATGATAAATATAAGCAAAGATTTAAAAGATTTTGGAGCTAATTTCAAAAAAAGGAAAAAAAAAAAGGAAAAAAAAAACGAAAGAAATTCACAAAGAAACCGCATCTTTCCCTAGAAGAAACAAGCAAACAAGCAACCAGAATCACGTTGAAATCTTGCGGAATCTATCAGCGTCTCGACATCAAGCTCTCTAAATCCAGCGGCCGCGATTAACGAACACGCCTCTCGTTCTATCAATCAACGGTCGCGGTCCATCCGCATCTAACACCAAGGAAATTCTCGACGTGAGGACAAAAACGTCATGGTTTTCTCCCACCAACGCACGCCACTCTTCTCCTCCTTTCTACGGTGCACGTGCCGTGCACAGCACAGCTTCTTCCTCAAAACAGCGAACGGCGTTTCCCGGCGAGTCGTCACGTGACACGCTGGCCTTCAGCGGGGCC